TCTCTCAGCCTGGACACATGGGGAAGGGCCTACGTTCTGGCCTGGATGAAATAACAGACTCTGGAGATCCCTCCAAGGAAGGCCTCACCCTCCCTGGGGAATGATGTGGGGATTGCATGGGGGGACTGAGGGGACTGGTGGAGGGGCAAGGGAGGAGGGGTGGGAGAGGGAGCTGGGATCGACATGTGAAGCATTCATGTTTCTAATTTAAATAAAAATATTTGATAAATAAAAAAAGGGACTGGCTTATAACAATATGATCTGGGCAGCCCAACAATGGCTGCTGTCACACTGGAAAAGGCTGAGACGCCAACAGCTGCTCAGTCCACAAGGTCTGGTCCTGAAGGTCTCAGGGATTCCTGGAAGGCTAATGGTCTTCAGTGCACTTTGGAGGCCGAAAAAGATGGGTTCTGAAGTCAGCCAGGTATGTCTACGGCAGTGGTGGCAGCAGCGACAGCAGCAGCAGCAGCGGCAGCGGCAGCAGCAGAGTAGATGAACTTGCCAGCACAATACAAAAGCAGGCAGTTAAAAAGCAGAATCTCTTTGTTGCCACTGCCACCAGAAGGCACTGTGGACATGTAGGGCGGGTCTATAGACATCCAATAACATGATCAAGAAAATCCCTTAGGAACTATAACACTTCGTATTCAATCTGCTAAACCAGCTGCAGAGCCATAATGTTGAGGAGTTTTGAAATAAACTATGGTATTCAGAATTTGGAATTCCTTGATGCTGCATGACATAAACATTAACAGTGCACATTTCATACTATGAAATATGAAACACTCATTACTAAGACCTTATTATCTAAGGTAATTCATACACCTTCCAGAAATTCACAGTGTGTTCACATAAACCGTGTTGAGAGGGATTATGGGTGGATGGAATTTTTAAAAGAATGGAATCAAGCGTATTTGTGTGTCTTGTTTGTTTATGAATAATTAGATTATGCTATTTATGCAGAACAGCTGACAGCAATGCTGCACTTGTTTACTAGAGGTAAACTTTAAGTTGTTCTACACAGGGAGCCACAAATTACTGTGTTCAGAGCTCTGGAGCCCTGTTGTAGAGCATTACAGAGGCTGACATTTCCAAGCAAAGGGAGTGCTGCCTGTCGACAAGACACAGAATCAGTGGCTACTCAGGACCACCCCTGTGCAGCTGTGCTCTAACTGCTATCAACCTGCAGGAAAGTAAGCGTACGCTCCAGAACACAGGTGTGACAGTGTAATCTTATTAACTATTAAACAAGGACTGCTGAGAACCAGTTACTCATTTGTTTTAGGATATAACTAATTGTTTACAGTAAGTTTTAGGTTACAACAGGTATGAATAACATTGCTAATACATCTATGTGGCAGCAAGAAAATCACATGTCCTCTGTGGTCATTTTATAAGTGCATTTTATGTCAATAAAAATGTTTCTCTTAAAAAAAAAAAAAAGGAAAGAAAATCCCTTACAGGTGTTCCCAGTGGCGTGTCTCTTGATTAGATTAGCTCCAATGAAGTTCACAACCAAGATTAATCATTATAATGTGCAAAACTAATGGTTTTATACTATCAGAAATTATAGAAACATCTCAGTTAATTGAATTAAAAGACAATCATATGGAGAGGAGAGATTGCTCTGTGGTTAAGAACACTGACTGTTCTTGCAGAGGGCAGAGGTTCAAGTCCCGGCACCCACGTGATGCCCCACAACCATCTGTAACTCCAGTTCCAGGGGGATCTGATGCCCTCTTCTGGCCTCCATTGGTACTGCATGCATGTGATACAAATATACACACTCAGGCAAAACACCCATATACATAAGATTTTAATTTTAATTTTAAAAAACAACTATCATATAAAAATGGGTCATACTGGATAGACCAGTAATATCTGAACCAATAGTGATGTATATTCATAAATTCTTACATATCAATTTCCTAAATTTTGTCTTGTCATCTCTACATAATTATGAATCATGTGTCATAATATATGTTTTCATAAAACTTATGACTATTAACAACAATAAATATCAATTTAACATTTAAATTATAATAAGTTGACAAGTTACATTGTCAACTGTTACTATATAATACATAATTAAGTTGACACCATTTTTATTTGAAATTTACACCAGAGTAAATGCAATGAGTTTTTCATTAAATTCTTAATTGTTATTTAGTATTTCATTATCTTTATACATTATTAACTATTAAGCTATTTAATATTTAAGTATTGCCTTCAAATTTTGTTTTTCTTTTGTAGTATATTACCCACTAAAATAAGCACACTTTTAAATTGAATAATGATGATCGGAATTTTAAATCAAAACTATTTAGAGAAAATACCTCGTTTAGTTTTTCAATATTCGGTGAATCCAATTATGTACTTGTGTGAAAGCAAAGCTACTCATGATCCTAATGGCAGCTACTGAAATTCTCCAGTGACTGTGTGGAACTTCATTCACACTACAGCCACGCCCAGTGTGTAAGACTTCAGGGTCAGGCAGTGCCCCTGTGCTGCCACGCCCAGTGTGTACAGACTTCAGGGTCAGGCAGTGCCCCTGTGCTGCCACGCCCAGTGTGTACAGACTTCAGGGTCAGGCAGTGCCCCTGTGCTGCCTTGCCTGACAGAAAACCCAGCATTGACTTTGAAGGAGGACTCTTGCCTTATAGAGACCAAAGGAAAAATGTAGCACTGTGGCCTCCGGACAGCAGCACACAGTCCCCAAGGCCTGCAGCACTGGGATAAAATGTGGCAGACTGCTATTGAGCCTGGCCAGTGCTGAGCAGGCAGGGTAGCTAAGGCTGCAGCCCTGCCATGACAGAACATGTGACACACTAGCACTGGATATTGCCCTGTGACACACTAGCACTGGATACTGCCCTGTGACACACTAGCACTGGATACTGCCTGTGACACACTAGCACTGGATACTGCCCTGTGACACACTAGCACTGGATACTGCCTGTGACACACTAATACTGTCTACTGCCCTGTGACACACTAATACTGTCTACTGCCCTGTGACACACTAATACTGTCTACTGCCCTGTGACACACTAGCACTGGATACTGCCCTGTGACACACCAGCACTGGCTACTGCCCTGTGACACACTAATACTGTCTACTGCCCTGTGACACACTAACACTGGATACTGCCTGTGACACACTAGCACTGGATACTGCCCTGTGACACACTAACACTGTCTACTGCCCTGTGACACACTAGCACTGTCTACTGCCTGTGACACACTAACACTGTCTACTGCCCTGTGACACACTAGCACTGTCTACTGCCCTGTGACACACTAGCACTGGATACTGCCTGTGACACATTAACACTGTCTACTGCCCTGTGACACACTAACACTGGATACTGCCCTGTGACACACTAATACTGTCTACTGCCCTGTGACACACTAGCACTGGATACTGCCCTGTGACACACCAGCACTGGCTACTGCCCTGTGACACACTAATACTGTCTACTGCCCTGTGACACACTAACACTGGATACTGCCTGTGACACACTAGCACTGGATACTGCCCTGTGACACACTAACACTGTCTACTGCCCTGTGACACACTAGCACTGGATACTGCCTGTGACACACTAACACTGTCTACTGCCCTGTGACACACTAGCACTGTCTACTGCCCTGTGACACACTAGCACTGGATACTGCCTGTGACACATTAACACTGTCTACTGCCCTGTGACACACTAGCACTGTCTACTGCCTGTGACACACTAGCACTGGATACTGCCTGTGACACACTAACATTGTCTACTTCCCTGTGACACACTAGCACTGGATACTGCCTGTGACACACTAGCACTGGATATTGCCCTGTGTCACACTAGCACTGTCTACTGCCCTGTGACACACTAACACTGGATACTGCCCTGTGACACACTAACACTGTCTACTGCCTTGTGACATACTAGCACTGGATACTGCCTGTGACACACTAACACCATCTACTGCCCTGTGACACACTAGCACTGGATACTGCCCTGTGACACACTAACACCATCTACTGCCCTATGACACACTAGCACTGTCTACTGCCCTGTGACACACCAGCACTGGCTACTGCCCTGTGACACACTAGCACTGGCTACTGCCCTGTGACACACCAGCACTGGCTACTGTCCTGTGACACACATTAGCACTGTCTACTGCTCTGTGACACACTAACATTGTCTACTTCCCTGTGGCACACTAATGCTAACTTAATGTCACATGACACACTAGCCTACTAGTCCAATCCAGAGAAAGAATCCTTGTGTCCAGATCTAAGGGCAAAACTGCATCAGAGGACAGTCAAGCAGATTCCTGGAACAAAAAAAAATCCCATCCAATGCTGAACATTTTTAAAGATATTTCTTGGGCATTTTATCTACTTCTTTAGAAAACTGTTCAGATTAGTGGCCTATGTTTTAATTGAGTCATTTGTTTCCTTGACTCTTTGATTTCAGAGTCCTTTGTATATTCTGGATATTAATTCTCTTACAGTTGTATAGCTCAAGGATTCTCGCCCACTCTGGGGCTTTCCCTTTACTCATTTGATTGTTTCCCCTGCTGTGTGAAAATTTAGTTTTATGAGGTTCTACTTGTCAATGTTGGCCTTAATTCCTGGACAAACAGGGTCCTGATCAGAAAGTCCTTTCCAACATCCATAGCTTGTAGACATTGCCTATAATTTTCTCCTAGCGGTTTCAGCAGTTCAGGTTTCACATTGATATCTTTGTTTTTGGTTTTTACATTTTTGTGTGTTTTGTTTGCTTGTTTTGGATTGGGTTGGGTTGGGTTTTTTGTTGTTTTGAGAGGTTTTGTGTGTTTGCTTGTGTAACAGCCCTGGCCATCCTGTAACTTACTCTATAGACTAGGCTGGCCTCAAACTCACAGAGATATGTCTGCCTCGACCTCCCAAATGCTGGGAATAAAGGTGTGCACCACCACCGGCCAGCTTTTGTTTTGTTTTTGTTCCTTTGACGTTGGGTTTTGTGTGAGGTGATATATGCAGGTTTAATTTCCTTCTTCTATAATGATATTCAGGTTTCCCAGCACCATCTGTAGAAGATGTTGTCTTTTTGCAGTATGTCTTCTATTTTTTGCCTCTTTATTCAATATCAGATTCTATAATTACAGTTACATGCATTCGTGTTTGGGTCTTCTATATTTGTACAATGGTCTACATGTCTGTATTTTGCCTGTGCAATCCTGTTCTGTTGCTATGTCCTTGTACAATGTAGCTTCAAATCTGAAGTGGTAATCCTTCAGAGATGTTCTTTTAGTTCTGGATTGCTTTCACTAATTGGGGTCTTTATGACGTTTTTTCTATTTCTGCAAAGAATGACATAGCAATTTTTGATTAGGATTCCCTTGAATCTCTGTATCACTTTTGGAAGGATGGCAATTTTCACGATATTAACTCTACTAATCTATGAGCAAAGGAGGTCCCTCCATCTTCTAGTGTCTGCCTTGATCATTCTCCAGAGATTTGGTTTTCACTGAAGAGCTCTTTTAACACCTTGGTTAGGTATTTGGGGGGGAGGGGCTATTATTAATGGGATATCTTTAGAAGTGTTTAACATCTTTAGCAATTGGGGAAATGCAAATTAAAGCTACTCTCAGATTTCACCTTACACCAATCAAAATGGCTAAGAATAAGGAAGTAACTCACAACAAGTGTTGGTGAGGGTGTGGAGAAAGGGAACCCTCATGCACCATTGGTGGGATTACGAACTAGTGCAGCTACTGTGTAAATCAGGACAGAGAATTCTCAGGGGGACAAAAGTGAACCTCCCATTTGACCCAGCTGTCCCACTCCTTGGAATGTGCCTGAAGTGACTCCACGTTCTACTCCACAGACACTTGCTGAGCCATGGTCGTTGCTGCTCTATTTACATAGCCATGAAGTAGAAACAAACTACATGTCCTCTAGCTGATGGGTAGATAATGAAAATGTGCTACACTTACACGCAAAATACTATTCAGCTGTAAAGACAAATGAAGTCATGAGATTTTCAGGCAAATGGATAGAACCAGAAAATATTACACTGAGTGAGGTAAGGTAATCCAGACCAGGGAAGAAAAACACTGCGTGTTCCCTCTTATTTGTGAATCCTAGCACTGAACCTTTAGAAGTGAATATAGAACCTGGAATAACTGCAGAAGTCAGGTGTCTTAGTTATGGATGCTATTGCGGTAATAAAACACCATGATCAAAAGCAACTTTGGGGAAAAATGGCTGATTTCAACTTACAGATTGTAGTCCATCATCCAGATAAGTCAGAGCAGGAAGTCAAGTTAGGAACCCGAAGACAGGAACTGAAGCAGAGGCTGTGGACGAGTGCTGATTACTGGATTGCTCCAATTGCTTTCTTATAACCCCAGGACCACCCTCCCAGGGGTAGCATAATCCAAAATGGCTAGTCCCTCCCATATCAACAGCTGATTACAAAATGCACCATAGGCTTGCCCATAGGCCAATCTGATGAGGGCATTTTATCCATTGCAGATGTCAAGTTGACATCAAACTAGCCAGCAGGAAAATAAAAGGGGACCATGAAAGTTGAGAGACAATGAACTTTGGAGATAGGGACAGTAGGACACCAGGGCTATGAAAGGAGAAGTGTGGGAAATGAGGGTAAGCTTTAATTAGGACGGGGAGAGGAAGAGCATTATGCAGAGACAAATGGCAGAGGGATAAATAATATTAAAGATGTTTTATAGAGCAGTAAATAAGCATTGTTTTATGTTTATGTAAAACCATAATATGTGTTTATACACATATATACACTCAAAAACATAAAAAAATGGAGTTATGCTACACTTATGGGTGATCATGCTTACCCCAAGTACCATACATTACCTAAAAAAAATACCAGGCATAGGAAACCTCTCTTCAAGTTGTTGATCTGAGGACTGCAAGAGACTCCCAAGAACTATATAGGCTATTGTTGCCACTCTCGGTTGCCTCCCGAACTTGAAAGTAAGACCCTATTGCTGAAGACATGATGCCCTTGGGACACAGGACTTGAATTGATCTGGAACTGACATGGATGCCTCATTCCCTGAGGATTAGCTCGCATAGTATTGGAAAGAGCTCTGTAAGCAGCTAAGGGGAAAAACGCAATCAGTAGTCCTACCTACCTGTGATGCCTATGAACAACAATGATGACTAGAATGGGAAAATATCCACAAAGGTACAATAGTGGGGCTTACATCTGAAGAGGCAACTAACGGCTTTCTAATTGAACTTAAGGACCACTCAATAGGAAAGGGTATATGCTTAGTACTGTAAGCATAGCCAGTTACTCATGGCTGGTAAAGTCATGGGCCCTAGAGAAGAACCTACTACTGCCACTCCTCTAAAGGACAGTGATTGTATTCTAAGTACCTATCCTTATACCCAAAAAGACACTGTGTGTTATCCAGCACACACACACACACACACACACACACACACACACACACACAAACACACACACACCAGGTAGGTAGGTAGGTAGATAGGTAGATAGATAGATAGATAGATAGATAGATAGATAGATAGATAGATAGATAGATAGATAGATATCAATACTGGTCTGACTGGTCTGTGAGATAAGGGTACCCCTGGTTATCTGAGTTCCATCCTCAGAGCCCGTGCCATGTAAAAGTGAAAGGAGAGAACTGACTCTATGTCTTCTGACCTCCGCACATGTATATGACATGGATGTGTCTGTACACACATCACATAACAGTCACACACAATAATAACATTTAAAACCTTTTGAAGCCCCTTTTGGGATCTGGGGATATAGCTTTTCTTGCATGCACTAGGTCCTGATTTGGAGGCCCTAGGTTCAATACCCAGCAACACCTAACCCAGGAATGGTGGCACACATCTGTAATCCCAGCTTCAGGAAAGTAGAGGAAGGAGAATGGGAAGTTCAAAGTTCAAGGTTATCCTTAGCTAAATTGCAAGTTCTAGTTCCAGGCCAGCCTGGCCTATATGAGACCCTGTGGTTAAAAAACAAATCCCTTTCAATTAGCCTCTCGCTCTCCTACACCTCCCCCTCTACCTGTCCCCAGCACCTATAACATATGGAGCTGAACAAGTTAATGTACATATAACACAGACCTACCACCTTCCTCCCACACCTTGTACTGTGTTTCCTTTTGCTTCTACTTACTCTGATGTCTGGAAATCCCATCCAATCCCACCTAGCTCCTCCCACCTGCTCTCCTCCAGAAGTCTTTCCTATTCATTCTTGTAAGAAATACTGTATTGTCCTCTCTGGTTAAAAAAACAAAGAAAAAAAAACACATTATTTCATCCATTGCACCTATGTAGACTAGTTATTAGGTTTGTCTCCAAAGCAAGTACAACTATAAAAATCATATAACTTTTCTATAATCCTGGTTAGAAGTACCAAACAAATATTTGTCAAATAAAAACTCTCATTTATTGAAAACCCAGTGAGCAGTGGGTATGCTCATAGGCTCAAAGAAGCTTCTCAAATCTCATAATTACAGAGGGAAGGAAGGAATGTTTACCGTGGGGAAACCTAGAGGACATCGACTCAACATAACGATGAAGGTAACTCATCTGTGATTAGAATCAACGAGAAGAGTCAGCTCTGCTCTCTGTGTTAGTCCTGTCAACCATGCTAAGCTGAATCTAATCAGGAGGAAATAGCAGGCCAACAACAAATGAGGAAAATAATGAAAAATAAATGGACTGTAATATTTTAAAGTGTTTCTAAGCCATAAAAACCAAGGAAAGACCAATTTTTTCCCAGAGCAAAGGACACCAAGGAGACTTGACAATCAAATGGACTCCACAACTAGATCCTCCTGCACCAAGGTTATTTATTGGAACAATTGATCCACACTCAACTGGGGCTTGAAGCTTTAATTATATCCATTTATTAATTCCAGCTTCCGGATGTAAATGGTCATTGTGGTGGTCATTTGTATGAGATGCCATCTATAGTCTGACTTGTAAATATTTGTTCCTCCATTGGTGGCCCAGTTTGGGCAGTCTAGAGATGAGGCCTTCCTGGAGGATGTGTGTCACTGGGGTTGGGGTTTGAGGTTTCACATCCATGTACCATTCCCAGTTAGTGCTCTCTGCTTCCTATTTGTTCTTGTGAGTGCTCAGCTCTTGTTGCCACTGTGCCTCTCCACCATGATGAACTCTTCCCCCTCTAGAACAATAAGCCAGATAAACCCTTCCTTCTGTAAGTTGTCTTGCTCATGGTGTTTTATCACAGCAATAGAAAAGTAACTGGTATAGAAACTGGTAGTAGGGAGTAGGCTTTTCTTGTGGTAGACCTGACCAAGCTGTTTTATGGAGGGATATGGAAGTCCTTGGCACTTTGAATTAGAAAAACACTTGAACCTGTGAGCAGAGTTGAATGGGCCATTCTGTGAGGAACTTGGAAGACAGCAATGGGAGCAACATGGACAGTGGCAGCCCAGCTCAGGCAGCAACAGTACTAGCAACTGGGCTAGAGTCTATTCTTGTGACACTTTGACCAAGAATATAGCAGCTCTGTGCCTTTGTCCTAAGATCTTGTCTAAGGCTAAATTGAAAAGTAATGAACTAATTCCTTTGGTGGAGGAGATTTTTAAGACAGCCTAAAATTGACTCTGTCATGTGGTTATTAATAATCAGTCTTATGCAGGTCTACAAAGAAAATGAGCAAGTGGGAAGGAAAGAAATACAGAGTGTACAGTTTGGAAGAGAAAGAGAGTGGCTGGAAACTTAAATGTTGCATCAAGGCTTATGCTGCAATAGATAATAAAGAGATTAAAGAGAAGCCTGATCTGCATTAGGATAAAGGAAAGAGTCTTTCAGGGCAAGACCCTACCCACATAAGCTTCCAACTTGAGAAAGGTAAAGGCCTAGGAATTGTCTTCTAGAAAGAAACAAGCAAAAGCTGCTGCAAATGGAATTCATGGGGGCTAAGGTCCATCCCAAGTTGGGAGCCAAAGTTGCCAGTGTCATCCTTGTGGTTCTGGCCTTAAAGTCATGAAGGGCCCAAGAGTAAAGTTGTTGGATAGTTTTCTGTGGTTTCTGAGAACCACGGGGGCCAGGCCTATGGGAGGAGTCCCTGCATGGGGGCCTAGAGACCATTCCAGGAAGTTGTGGAAATGAAGCCTGAGTTGAATTGATAACCTCAAGATATTGAAGAAGCCAAAGCCATGGAATATCTGCCAAAAAGAGTTTCATGCAGAGAGTGGGACCAGTCCAAGAGAGAGGCAGGGAGCAAAGTTAAAGGGGTGGAGCCATCTAAACCCTTTGACTACAGACATGGAGCTACAGGATTTGGAGTTTTCCTTGTTGGAGTTGAGTCTTGCTTTGGTACAGTATTTCCTCACGGTGCCCAAATTCCTCCCTTTGTATGATAGGAGTGTATAATTTGATTTTTATAGGGAGTTACTGTAAAGAGAAGCTTTTTCCTTGAGAGAAGCCTTCCCGCCAGCCTGATTCCAGAGCCGCATCAGTCCCAAATAAACACACAGGAGGCTATATTAATTATGAAGCTGTTGGCCTTGCTTGTTTCTTACTGGCTACCTCTGACTTAAGTAATTACCGCATAATTGTTAATCTAAGTATTTCTCTTACCGGAGAAGTTTCCGGGCTTCCTACCCCATGGTGTTACATCTCGGCTCTCTTCTGTTTCTCCTTCCCAGAGTCCTCCTGGACTCCTAGTCCCACCTATCTAGATTCCTATTGGCTCAACAGTGCTTTATTGACATAAGACTTCCTTAACAAGTTACAATTAAGAGATTGCCTTTGTTAAGTTTCAAACCTGGAACAAATGCTGAGGTGCCTATTTAACGTATCAGAGTTGGACCTGGCCAACAGGTTCTCCCAGCATCACTCAGTCCCTAAATGTTATACAGTATGGCTTGCATAGCCAGCCCTCTACTCTGGACTCTCCAGCCCAAAGGCTCTTTCATATGTAATCCAAACATTTTGGCTATCCTTCCCTTTTTGGACCTTTGGCCTCCTGGCTGCTGCACCTGGCTCTCCTCTCTCCACATGACCCAGCTCAGCCTGGTCATGTCTACTCTGGACTCTCCCAGATGTGCCTGTCTCTGACTATGCTTGCCCACATAATCTACAATAAACTTTCTCCTCCATCGTACCTAGGAGCAGTCATGTCTTTTCTTTTTTACTTCTTTTTTTCATTCAACCTTTATTCTCAGAAGAAACTTGGGACTTATAAACTATTAAAACTGGAAGACTATGAGGCTTCTGAAGTTGAACTGTCTTAGGGTTTCTATTACTCTAACAAAAAACACCATGACCATTGAGGAAAGCAAGAACAGGAATTCAAGCAGAGCTAGAACCTGGATGTAGGAGCTGATACAGAGGCCATCGAGGACAGCTGATTACTGGTTTGCTTTCCCTGACTTGCTCAGCCTGCTTCACTGTAGAACCACGTACTAGCTGCCCAGGGATGGCACCACTACCATGGGCTAAGCCCTCCCCCATTGATCACTGATTGAGACATACCTTATAGCTGGATCTCATGGAGGTATTCCCTCAACTGAGGCTCCTTCCTCTCTGATGACTCTAGCTTGTGCCAAGTTGACACACAAAACCAGCCAGTACAGCTGACCCCTTGTCAACTTGACACACAAACACATCACTATTAGGTCACAAATCTTCCTTTCTTATCCATCCCCAAGAACTCACATATAAAAATCATAAATAATTTTAAATGTCCCACGGTCTTTACAAATTCAGACACATTAAAATTTCAGTCTCTTTAAAATATCCAGTCTCTTAAAAGTTCAAGACTTGGGCCTGGAGAGATGGCTCAGAGGTTAAGAGCACTGCTGCTCTTACAGAGGACCAGCACCCAGTGGTGGCTCACAGCCACCTGTAACTCTAGTTCCAGAGAATCCAATGCCGTCTTCTGACCTCCACAGGCACCAGGCACACATGTGGCAAACAGATATACATGCAGGCAAAATATTCATACACACACACAAAAAAAGTAAAAATAAAGTTTTTTTTAAGTTCAAGTATTTCATATGTGGGCTCCTTTAAAAATAAAATTTAATTAAATACCTTCTTTAAGAGGGAAGAACCAGGCCATCATTATAATATGAACCAAGCAAAACTGAACTCCAACAGTATAAATAACTCAATGTACAATTATCCGGGATTCACTCATGATAGTCTGACTCTTCCAAAGGGCTTGGCTCACTTCTCCAGCTCTGCCCTTTGCAGCGCACACAGCTTGTCTTCTAGGCTCCAGCTGGCTCCACTCCACTGTTGCTGCTGTTCTTGGTGGTCATCCCATGGTGCTGGCATCTCCAAAATGCTGGGGTCCCTTGCTGCAACTGCATTGCACATTCACTAATAGCGTCTCATAGGCTCTCTTCATGGTGTCAAGCCTCAACTTCTTTGTAACACCCCTTCAGTCCTGGGCCTTCAACTGCCACTGAGGCTGCACCTCCATCAATGGCTTCTCCTGGCCTGTCACAGGGCCAAGCCTCAGCTGCTCCCCAGGACCCCTTCATGCTTTCAAAACCAGTACCTCCTGGGTGACACTTACACATTACCAATACCTCCTGGGTGACACTTACACATTACCAAGTCCTGCTGCCAACACTATGCCACCTCTGAAACACAGCTTCTCTGTGCTCTCAGAAAATACTCCTGGGAAAATTTCACCCAGGGATGCTGGTCTCTTCTTAATCACCACTAACTTCTTAGCTCCAACTATCCAGCATCAATTATCCCAGTAACATAAAAGTCTCAGTTCAGTAGTTCTGGCATATTGTTAATCACAGCTGATTCTTCAATCCCAGCTAACCAGAACCACAGAATCTTAACTCAAAATAACAAACGGCCCTGATAGAGTCTTTAAACTTCCCTCTGAAACTTCACAAACTAGGCCTCCATATTCTGTACTGCTCTCAACATTCTTATCTTCCAAGCTCCCCGTCAAGTATTCTACAGAGCTCATAATACTCAATGGCTTTTCTAGCCTGAAGTTTCAAAGTTCTTCCACAATCCTCCCCAAAACACCATCAGGTCTGTCACAGTAGTACCCCACTATATTGCTACCAATTGTCTTAGGGTTTCTACTGCTGTGATAAAACGCCATGACCAAAAGGCAAGTTGGGGAGGAAAGGATTATTTGACTTACACTTCCAGATCACAGTCCATCACTGGAGGAAGTCAGAACAGGAAGTCAGGCAGGAGGCAGGAGTTGATGCAGAAGCCATGGAGGAGAGCTGATTACTGGCTTGCTTCCCCTGGCTTACTCAGTCTGCTTCCCTATAGAACCAGGACTACCTTCCCAGGGATAGCACCACCCCTCATAGGTTAGGCCCTCCCCCATTGATCACTGATTGAGAAAACACCTTACAGCTGGATCTCATGGAGGCGTTTACTCAATTGAGGCTCCTTACTCTCTGATGATTCTCGCTTGTGTCAAGTTGACACACAAAACCAGCCAGTACATGGAGTCCAGGGAGGATATTGTGGGGTTTTGAACGAGATGCCCCCTATAGTCTCAGGGTTTCAAATGTTTGGTGTCCAGTTGGTAATGCTGTTTGGGAAATTTAGGAGGTATGGTCTTGTTGAAGGAAGTATGTCAATGCAGACAGGATTTGAGGTTTTTTGAGGTTTCAAAGTCCTGCTCCATTCCTAGTTAACTCTCTCTTCTTCCTGTTTGAGGTCGAGATATGAGGTTTGAGATGTGAGCATTCAGCTGTTCCTGCCACCATGTCTGATTGCTACCATGTTTACCCAGAGTGATGGACTCTTAACCCTCTGAAACTGCAAATGCAAAACAAACCTTTCCTTGTGTAAGTAACCCTGGTCATAGCAATAGAAAAGTAACTAACACAGTCATAGTACTGTTATCTAGGAGAAAAGTAACTAACACAGTCATAGTACTGTTATCTAGGAGATTGTCCATAAAATATAGTCTAACATTGATAAATAATTAGACACTATGCTTGTAACTTATTCTCAAATGGTTCTTGGGGGAAGAAAGTTCGTTGAACTGTTTTCTCAACTCTTCTGAAAGATAGAAATGTGCACATAGTTAAGTCACCCTCACCTATGGTGCCTAAAATTCCACAGTCCGTGGGCATTACTTGGCTTTCTCATCAAGACAGAGAAATATGTTCTCTAACTTCCTTTCTTTTTCTTTCTTTCTTTCCTTCCTTCCTTCTTCTCCTTTTCCCTCCTTTTAATTTGAGACAAGATCTCTCTATACAACGCTTGCTGACCTTAAACTTGTAGCAAGGCTCCTGTCTCTGCCTTGGGAGTTCTGGGAGTGAGGTGTGCACCACCTCACCCAATAAGACTCATCTTTTGAAACTCCTTAAAGAGACTATCATCTTCTGTAACTCACAATTCATCATCCGCTCACTCAGAAGAGATTAGCCTGATCCACTCCATAAGGATAACAGTCCCTGTTGTGTCAGGAACTATTCTAGGCAGTCAGGATATGTAGGCATACAAAATTATCTATGCTCCTAAAGCCTTTTGGGCTTTCTATCTATCAAAGGAGACAAAGTAATTCAAACTCACAGGAACATCCATAAAATTCTAATTGTGACAAAGAGGAAGAAATAGTTGCTGCTGCAGTACATAACTGGCCTAGCTATTTGTCGTCAGCCTTGAGGATTAAAGGGCCAATGGGCTGTTATGTTGACTCTTTAATAGTTCACAATGCAACGAAGGGGGAGCACTTAAAAACAGCTTTATTGTGATGTTATAAATCTGTTAAGTGTGATGTAAAATATAGTGAGAGGTCCAAAAGAGCCTGAGCCTCATCTAAAGGTGAGATCCTGGAATACACGCAATGAGATCCAGACCTTGAAAACTGAGGAAGCAAAGAAGCATGTCCTCACCTAAGAGAGGTGTCTGAGCAACAGCACTAGGGACATGGGTGGGAAACAAGGCCCACAGGAGACAGGAGAATATTATGGGATATTTGCACCCTGTGTGAAGGAGTATTCCTGTGGCTGGTGTAATAGAAACCTGAACGGCCAATAGTTAGGCAAGACGTATAGGCAGGATTTCCAGGGAAAGGAAGGAAGAGGAGGAGGAATGTAGACTTACAGGAGATGCCAGGAGACAGGGAGGGGAAACAGGAAGTACAGATGGAAAAGAGGTGACGCTCATGACAGAACATAGATTAATAGAAATGGGCTAATGTAAGTTATAAGAGCTAGTTAGGACCAAGTCTAAGGTATAGGTCAAGCTTTCATAATTAATAAGCCAGCTCCCATGTCATTATTTGGGAGCTGGCTGGCTAGACAGAGAAAGACTCATTACTGGAGAACTTGGTAATATACTTACCCCATGGACAGACAGAATACATCAAAACCAGGTTAAGTTTGGACTGAGGATATAAATGTTGCCCTTTTCCCAGGGCAATATAGAGCTACTGTAAGTTTGTAAACAATATAGTCCATTGATACTTGTTGATTTGTAAGGTATCTACACTAGTTGAAAGAATTGAGATTCTAAATGCTAAAGAATGAATGAATGAATATGGATGGATGGATGGATGGATGGATGGATGGATGGATGGATGAACACATGAGCAAACCCTTGTACTGATGGAGATAACTATTGAATAGAGTACTAAGAGAAGTACAGATGCAATCTAGGATTGACTCTTGATCTGGCCATTCTAACTGAAATGACACACCCTAATGTCCTAATACTCACTGTCAAGCCACAATCAACTAAAATTGCCAGATTCACACACAGAGTTCTAGTGTAAGCCTTAGGTGGTTACTCTTGATTGTCAGTTTGATTGGTTGAGAGACAACCTCCAACCTCCAAGTGTCTTGAAAGCGGATTAGGTCATAAGGACTCTGACCCAATGACATTTATCTCCTGAGGCTTTACAGTGTGATAGCATCAGGGAGATAACAAAAATAAGGAAACAGACATATTTGGACAAAGCAGGTTATGGTATCCTTGGAGGCTATCGTTTGCCTGGGCCATTTCCTGAATTTCTCTCTCTGCTTCCTGTGTGCCATGAGGTGAATACTTTCCCCACCCACAGGCTCCCAGCCACCATGACATTCTGCCTCTCAATGAGACCAGAAAAACAGAGTAAAGTAAACACAGACTCTGAAGCCTTGAACCAAAACAAACAAGTTTTCCTTTAAGTGCAGTCAGGTACCTGGTCACAGACAATGAAGGCTAACTAATGTGAGCCCCGAGAGAGCCTCCCAGGCCTCCACAAACCTTCAATAAAATGCCAACCTCCATGGGAAATAGGATGTTCAAATCTCTGTGTCATTTGCAGAAAGAGAAGTATTTGATAACTGTAAGAACAGGGAAAGGTATACCAAAATACATTAATTCACAAAATGATTAGAAGTCTATGTTACATTTGACAAGATCTCAATTCAAACTAAGGAAAGGGGAAATGCATAGGATTATGTAACTAAGGCACAATCTGACCAAGGGGATTCACACAGAATCACAGGAACGCTGTAGCTCTCCCACTCCAATCTCTCTTGTTTTTTCTCCCCCTTCTGGAATCCATGTCCCCCTGTCTTCACGGTGGCAGATCCCAGCAGAAGTACACACCCAGGTCTCACATACTCAGGATTTTCAGCAGTAAGCATCTTCCCCCCATAGTTTTGGCAGAGGAGTTCTGAGAAAGCTTAGTAAACTAGAATGGATCGAGAGCACATCCATAAACCAATTGTGGTGTTTTGTGGTACAGGCTAGTGTAACTGGCATATCTGAGCCAGTGTCTCTCGATGTCTGAATTGTTCTCCCACAGAACATGTTCTGTTTCCAAGAGAAACAGGGTGGTGTGCTGCCAAGCAAACAGGAACAACACACATGGTGGATCTGGCCCACTGGCCAATGCCTCCCTGTTCCTATTCCTTTGAAGTGTTTCTTCCTGAATTCTAGAGGCTGGAAGTTGAAAGCCACATAGCACAGACTCTCCTCCACACACATTCTAGCAGGGTGGCTTTTACCCACGGACATGTTTGACAACTACTTGACACTGCTGTAGCAAGGAGGCATTTACGAGAGCCTTGTGGATAAGCAAAGCTTAATTGACAACCGAGTTCAGATATCTAAGGTGCTGGTAAAATTCATAGCCAAACGTCCGAAGAGGTGGATCAGCGGGTCAAGTGCTTGCTTGAGACTAGTGTTTGGTTCCTTGGTACCCACATAAATGCAAGGCAGATGTGGAGGCCTGTCTGTAAACCCATCACCTGAGACATGACGACATGGGATCCCCAAATCAAGATGTCTTTCTTCAGTAGCTGAATCAATGAGCTCTGAGTTCAAGTCAATGCTTTGCCTCAATGTGATATGAGGCAGAGAGTGAGAAACAAAGGAAGACAGCCTATGGCCTCCACACATTCACACACACACACACACACACACACAGAGAGAGAGAGAGAGAGAGAGAGAGAGAGAGAGAGAGAGAGAGAGAGAGAGAGAGAGAGAGAGAGAGAGAGAGACTTAACTCGGGGCCAAGGCAATGGAATCTCACAGCCGAAAACTGCAGTAGTAGCTTTAAGTCATTAATATAGCTGCACCATGACAGTTTCAGACACATTCCATGGGAGCCCAGCACCCACAGCCTGTTTCTCTCATCCTATCAAAGTGTCTCTGTGTCCTAAATCCATTTCTGTGTTATCAGTACTAAGGCCTAACTTTCCCACTACAGTTCCTGAACTACAGTCTGTGAATAAAACCACGTCCTGAATTCCCTGTCGTGGAATCTGGCTCAGTGGAGTCACTCCAGGCCGCCCATGAACTTGCCCCATCTGTGCTGATCCTGGGCACTTTGGAGAGTTCGGGTTCTCACAGTCACACCTTACAGTTCAACGATTCTGTTACTCTCATCTGATCTGCTGTCACATCAATCTCAACCATATCAAGTTTAATTATTGTTGCTTTCCATTTCCTGATTCTAGTTTGTTCTTTTAAAATATGCCATATCCTTTTCCCAATTTCCTGTCAATGTATTGAGTTTTCTATGTAAGATGACTTGAGCCGCATGCATTCTGCTTTGCTATCATCTGGGTGGAGCCTATCTATCCTCTGTGGTTCTGTCTGTATACAACCCTATGTTGGCTCCCCGTCTGCCTGGTTGTGAGTTGTTCACCTACAAATACATTTAGAAAAGTGTTTCTATGAATAATTTGAGATATTGCCTCTTCTAAGAGGAATTTGCATTTCATCAGTCAACTACAAGTTTATCTATCATCTAAGCCAGGTGTTCTGTGGGGTCAGAACATTTACAATTGCCGTATTTTCAATTTCAAATAATTGAGTTTATCAAGCACATAACAAGCAGAATTAAAATGGAAGATAGAAACGGCAGGATAATAGCAAAACATCATCCTATCAGGCACTTACCACATAGGGCAGGGACAACCAGAGTAGCCTGATTTGAGAAAGCAAGCAACAGTAACATGAAATCAGATCCTACAATGTCCAGCAGAAATCATCTTGGAAGCTTCATGGAGACAGCCAGCTGCAGTTTCCAGGTAAGAGATTCTTCTCCATGGACAAGCTTCCCACTCCAACTGCAGGCATCATTATGCTGTGGGGTCAACAACAGTAACCTCTGTTGGAAATGGCTTAGCTTCTAGCTGCTCTAATGTGTACAATATTTTTACTTGTGGATTCTTGGGTTCTTCTCTTCTCTCCTTGTCACAGGGACAGGGGGACCAGCCTGTCCCCAGACAAGAGTTCCTGGATAATGCTTTGAGATAAACATGCCATGGTCTAAAAGGGAGAGTCTGTCCCACTTCTAGAGCCAGAGTCTCAATAACTAAACCACACACATACACAACCA